CTAACCAAGGAATAAGGAACCAACACTGGGGAATTACAGACAGGTAAAGACAAGCAGGGCCACAAGGAACAAAACAAAAACCAACTACAAAATCAAACACAAGAACTAGAGAAACTCAAATGAAACACTAGGGATCAAAAATACAAAAACAGAGGCGGTGGGATTCAAACACAGGACAGAAGGGTACACAGACAACTGGCTGCTCAACATGTTGAGCCATGAGACCAACAAAGAACAAGGGGGGAAAACACAAAGACTAACATGAAGGACAGGATGACCAGCAACGCCTGCTGGTCAAAAGGGGAAGGGACACAGAGTGAGACAACAGGGGCTGACCTTGACAATTTGCTACTATATCAGTTGATTCTGTTTGGAACTACCGAAGGAACTACTAAGGAACTACTGAAGGAACAAATACTGAATAACACAGGTAAAATACTGATCTCCCGTTTGTTCATCATTAATGAATCGTGATGCCTCATTTCAAGTAGTGACTGTCTTTATTCAGGATTTGTTCATGATTTGTACTTCAGTAGTCCATAAGTTATGGCAAAAAAGGTTAGGTGGTACATTGGGCGGAGCTTAAAGCTCCCCCCCATCTATGACGTCATACGCGGGAGGTGGGCATATCCTTTGTTCTGATTGGTCAAGGGGTTTTTGGCCAAATGGTACCATACATGCTTATGCCACGTGTTGCCGATAGGGGGACATATGGTTTGGGGAGATAAGGGTTGTCGTTAAACTTTAATAGAATAAAAATACATTGCATGTATTTTATTAATGTGTTATTTTTAATTACGTTTTAAGGAAAAATAAAACATATAGCAGGATGAACGTAAGCTAGTGCACACACGTCCAGCGGGGGTTCCGTATTTTAAAAGAAGAAAGCCCCAAAATGTTTTAAACAAGAAAAACTTTAGTGTTATTTTAAAAGAAAGAAAGAAAAAGCAGGTGTAATTTAAACAAGTACAAACATGCCGAGTTTAAACAAGCACAAGTCCCGAACGAAACACTGTCAGAAGAGCAAATGCCGAGTTTTAAACGAGCACACATATTTCAGCCCAAGTTTTTTAAAAGAAGAAAGCACTTAAGGTAAAAGAAGAAGAAGATAAACTTTTAGCAATATTTACCAGTGTTAGGATGAAGAAAACATTTAACCAGCAAACATTTAGCCCCGCAGCTCGGCTGTGTTATTTCTAAATAGTATAAATAATATATTTCTAAATTAAATAAAAGTTGATTTGTATTAGCATTTTTAAATAGACAAAATGTATGCACATTTACCATGTTCACCAGGGTGGTGTAGTGTTTAAGGTGTTGGACTTAAGATCCAATGGACGTATGGCTGCGTGGGTTTGAACCCCACCCTAGGTAAGACCTTTTCTGGGCAGTAGTGCCTAGGCAGACACATCTCCCAGCAAGCAATGGCGAGCGAACTGACAGCATCACCCAGCCCCGCATCTCCTGAAGCCGTCCTACTGGAGCCTGCATCGCCTTCAAAAGCGGGGCATTACAGAGATATTGAAAACCTAATCAGTGAAATTAACGATGCTCCAGGAATGTCAAAACTAAATTATGGCTGCGTAGGTTCGAACCCTACCCTAGGTAAAACCTTTTCTGGGCAGTAGTGCCTAGCCGCTGGTAATCCTTGTTAAAATGAGCGCATGCGCTCTCTCACTCGCTCTCCACGTAGAGACACTTAAAATAGCAGCATCGGTGACAAAAATGGCGACGGGAGGACAAATTGTTTCCGATCTCAGGCAGACAGAGCCCGCTGGTGAGCAACAACTTTCTCAAGAATTTTAGAAATGAAGGGAAGGTTTG